ACGGATTTCTGGTCTGCGAGTTGGGGTGGAAGGGTGGGGGCGAGGATCTGTGCGTGTGAGGGGGAGAAATAAATTAATAATTCAGCACCAAAGACATCCACTTCCAACTGCAGGCCACGAGGGCAGGTGCCCGCCTCGGGGGCCTCTCTCGAGATAATCGCTACTCATCAGGGTTTGGCTTCTTTGACAGATTCTCTCTCTCTCTCTCTCTCTCTCTCTCTCTCTCTCTCTCTCTCTCTCTCTCTCTCTCTCTCCATATGATTTGGGGAATATGGAGAATGGGATTCTGTTCAGAATCTTTTTTTTTTTCAGGCCAGGGAAGCTGTGCCACCCCAGCCCCCATTTTCGGATAGCGCGCATGCTGTGTGATGATCATCTAGGGGACGGGTGGGGGCAATGGCGTGGACTAGGACTGAAGGAAGAAACTGGGACTCCTTGATTGATGCGTCCTGGGTCCTGGTTTTCCCATACCCCCACCCAGCTCCCCCGGGAACAGCCGTGCTTCCTCAATGGCCAAAGCTAGAGGAAAGGCATGCTTTGCGGCAAAAGACGCCGCCGCCAGGAGCTCGCTTTGCAATTGTCTCCAGCTCACCACGGAGAGGTGGTGAACAAAAGCTTGAGCCCTACAAGCGACCTGAATGGAAAATTTCCCTGCGCACTAAAGGAACGGGGCTGTCTCCGGAAAGTAGGGAATGGGGTCTGCTGTATTCCTGGGAGACAAGACTCTGGGGCTGAGTTTTAAGGGGTCTAGGCGGCCCCGAGCCTGGCTGTCTGCTCCCTCCCTCTCACCCTCCCTCCTACCCAGTTAAATCCTCTCTTTGTGTAAGTTTAGCTCCTCTGAGGTGGCTGAGGGAAGAGTCCCATCGGGTACAAACGCACCACGGAGCTGCTATAGCCATAGGACTCATTAGTCGGCACTTAAAGGGATCGATACCAGGCCACTCGAGGCTGGTAGACGATGCCTTCATTGGATTTTCTGAAGGCTTTATTTTCTTTTTGCCTTGAAAGGCTTAATTGGTTAATGCAGATTCCAGACATTCTGATGCCTCCAAGTCAGAGTCAAGGGTGCTGTAGACATGAGTGGCGCTTATCTGATTTGTTGAGTGGTCACAGTTTCCACACAGTCTATTTCGTGTGTTCTATAAGAGCGTTTCTGTCGCAGGAATCCTGCAAATCATAACATGGTTTTTCAGTGAATCTGACTGCTTGGTTTCACTTTGTGAAAAAGGGGGTGGGCCAGGTAAAAGAGAGGAGTCTTGGCGGGAGTCCCAGTAGTTAAGGAAGTAAATTTTAAGTTCTTGGTGATGAAATAGAATATTACATGCAACTAAAGAGAAATTCTTCTTCATGTAGCATGCTTCAGTTTGTTTTTTAAAGAAAAGTTGATGTGGATTGATTAAAGCTCATTATGAAGTGTCAGTTATTTAGTCTTTGGCTAAATTTCTCAGACATCCACTTGGGGGAGTCTGGAAGTGTTGAGAGGAAGCGAAATTAAAATTTCTGAAACTTCTAGTCTCTTTGGAAGAGAGCTACCAAAGAGTTGTTAGGATTCAGTATGAATACAATCCTATTAGGGAAAAAAAAGCATTCAATTTTCTCTACTAAATGTTTTTGGAAGTTGAATCAATTCCTAGTTCCAATTGTTTACAGAAATGTTTTTATTTGTAATTTGAAAATACAAGCATTTTCTGCAGATAACACTTTGGGAAGAAATGCTTGATCATTATTGTGTTTTTCAGAGATTTAGAAACTTACAACTTGGGGACCAAGGTCAAAGAGGAAAAAAAAATCCTTTAACTTACAACTTAGGGACTGGGGTCAAAGAAGTAAAAAAAAATATCCTTTATTAATACAGACTAATACTGGGCATTACCAAGTAAACTACTTCAGTTTCCTTAAAGGAAACACCTTTGGCAGAAAGAAAACACTTACGAAACCAAATGAACTGGGGTGTGGGTGTGAGAGAGAGAGAGAGCGAGAGAAAGAGAGAGAGAAGGAGAGAGAATGTGTGAATGTTTGTATAATAATAATCTAAACTAGGTTTACTTGAAGTATATCATCTATTTCTGATGAACTGTTCCAAATGTTGCCTACAGTATGAAGTTCACTTTCCAGCTTAATCATAAATCAGAGTTATATGAATATTCTGTGCAAGAATAATAATCTATATACAAAATTTTTGTTTCTAGTAACAAATATTTTTTTAATTTTTAAAACTAAAAATTATTTTAAATATTTTAGGAGATGATTATAAATCACTGGTGTTCAATTGCCAGTTCTCTAACTGAGAAGGTATAATGTTTAAATACCAATTTGTTATTACCCTAAAATATTGCACATACACACATGCATATGTGTTTATGCATGCATATATACACACAAACGTCATAAATTAAACTACTGAAATCTTTAGTGCCCTTTGACAAGATCCATCATAATTAGAATAGTCTGCCATTTTTATTTAGATTTTTGAAAAGATGCTGAGGTAGTAGCTTTTTAAAATCAAGTTTAATGTTATGTATAAATGACAGGCAATCCTGATATTATGTATAAATGACATGTAATCCTATGTATAAATTACATCTAACCCTATGTCTAAATTATAACAAATAAAACATGAAGAATGGCAAGAGAAAAGACAAAAAAGTTTTTTGCAAAGTTATTGTTTTTCTCTACATGAAGAAATATATCTTAAAATATCTAAGTCTGATGATGTAAATCTGTCTCTGCAAAGAAATACATTTTGTAACGTTTCTTTTATGCGTCTTTATCCAAATTTAGTGGTTACACTTATATCAGTCATTTAAACTACTTCTCATACTAGATAATCACTTATCATTACCAGTGAGCTTGTTGACAGACTTCTCACTGCATGAATTTTAATTCCAGAAGGGTGAGCCCCATTATATGAAATCTGGTTCCTAACTACACCTAATACCTACTAGGTATAAAAGAATTCTTATCCCAAAACATGGGATTGTTTCTCTTAAGTAAATTTAACAATGAATAGAAAAAATAGGAAATGAGAACACTCTACTTCCAGAAAGAATAGCAAGACCTTTCTCTAGTTCTAAGTTCAAGTTGGTAACAGTGATGAATTACAATTCCTGCCTCCATATCATTCCTTTTTCTTTCATTTTTGTGTCATGATTTAAACAGATGATGCACATGAGGAACCATGTTTAAATTCTTTATTATATTTTAATAAGCACTTGTGATAGCTACAGTCTATTTTGATTATTTAAAACAATTGTGAATTGTTTGTAGAAGGTTGTAAAGGATTTTTGACATGAATTATATTCTGTGGAATCATGTCACCTTCATTTTAAAACAGGTTGAAATATGAGCTGAAATATGTTGCTATAAATAAGCAAAATTAATATTTTAAGTCAAAAATTATTTAGTATATTTTAATGAATAGTTATAATTCACATATAGTTAATTGTCAAGTTTCTTACCAAAAATTAATTTCTTACTTTCCTACTTGAATTAAGAATTTAAATACAAAATTGACACTAGTCTAAAAGAAATTGAAGTTCATTTTGGCCCCACATTTACTTCAATCTTAACTTTTCTCCAATTATATTTCAGATTAATGTTTTCTGTGTTTACACTTACATACTCCGTTGCTTGTTCCTCTCTTGCTTTGCTTAAATCAGATTGAAATACTGACTTTTTTATCAGTAATTCATGGGATTTCATTGTTGCATTAATGTGCAAACCATTGTCTTTCCTTCTTTCCCAAACCAATGACTGGAATTCATCATATCATTCAGTCTAGTTTTTGTTTTCAAGACTAGTGCTCTACCACTTTGAACCACAGCTCCACTTCTGGTTTTCTAGTAGTTAATTGGAGCTCAGAGCCTTGTGAACTTTCCTGCCTGGGCTGGCTTTGAACTTCAATCTTCAGATCTCAGCCTCCTGAGTAGCTAGGATTACAGGTATGAGCCACCAGCCCCCAGCTCAGTCTAGTTTGTTGTTGTTGTTTGTTTTAATTTTACTTTATTGTTGTTTTAGTGGTCATGTACAGTGAGGTTATATATATATATGTATATATATGTATATATATATATATATATATATACAGTGTCATCTGTTCCCTCATTCCCTCACATTTCCTCCCTTACATCTTCACCCATGAGTTGCATAGTGCACTTTTATCAATGTCCAATGAGTCCATTGCTGTACTTTTTTTTTTTCTTAAAGTGAATAAATCT